AAAGACGATACATTTCCCATTCAAATTACATGGGATTTTGACACTTTTTTCAATTAATTATTTTTTCCCCAGGTAAGATGACTTAGAGCAATGTGACATACATATTCTTATAGTAAATTGAACGCTCTACAAAAAAGTTTTCTTATAATATTTCGATTAAATCACTCGTTAAAAAGTTATTCGAGGTGAAAGTTAAACTCTGTGTAAATTTTCAGATTTTTTTTACTTTTACGGCAAAGTTATTATTATTTCCATGAAAGTTATTAGTTTATTTCTGAAAATAGATCATTCTGGTGGTATTAGGGTATACAATTTTTAAACCTGGATAATAATAGACTGCATAACAGGTAGCTGGTTCTAGTTTTCATCATTTTTGAGACTTTATTTATAACACACAGTCAACTAATTTTTATTAAATTTCAAGTTTTGTATACTTTAATGAAATTTTCCTTCAATACAGTAAGTGACTCAAAATTACTCTTACAAGCATTCCCGTCAACACTCGGAATTTTTATTGACGCAAGCGCGCTAAAGCCCATTTAGTACCTTGTCGGCGCTTTAAGTTCTTTTAGTATTGTATACAAATATCTCTGCATATTGTTGTAAATGTTGTGTCATACATTAACAGTAGTTATTTATATAATAGGTAAAACTTGTTTATTATATACAAAAAACATGGTATAGGTTCAATGGATCTAAGACAAAATATATTTTTGATTGGAAAAACAATAAGTTCAATTACTGGCAAAAAGTTACAAACAAATAAAGAAGTTCTGCAACTACTGTACCATCACTCGAGAAATCGCAATAAATCTATTGATGACAGCTGTTCAATCGTTATACGTGAAGTGACAGGAATTTGGAGAGAAGCAGTAATTTCAACTCAAATTAATTCACGTTGCATAACAAAATTAAAAAGTCTCTACGCAGAATACAGAAATGTGCAAAAACATCTTAACCAAAAAAATAAAACAGCTGTCATCAATAGATTTATTGCGATTTCTTGAGTGATGGTACAGTAGTTGCAGAACTTCTTTATTTGTTGGTAACTTTTTGTCAGTAATTGAACTTATTGTTTTTCCAATCAAAAATATATTTTGTCTTAGATCCATTAAACCTAAATTTTTTATAGGTTAGAACTATTTGAAAAATTTTAATTCTAATGAGATTTTCAATATAAATTTAATTTTAAAGTGTTTATTTACCTATATGTTAAAAATTGCACTAATTCTAAATTTTCTTTTTTGTATATAATTAACAAGTTTTATTATATAAATAACTACTGTTAATGTACGACACAACATTCACAACAATATGCAGAGATATTTGTATACAATACTAAAAGGACTTAAAGCGCCGTCAAGGTACTAAATGCGCTTTAGCGTGCTTGCGTCAATAAAAATTCCGTGTGTTGGCGGGAATGCTTGTAAGAGTAATTTTGAGTCACTCACTGTATTAAAGGAAAATTTCATAAAAGTATACAAAACTTGAAATTCAATAAAAATTAGTTGACTGTGTGTTATAAATAAAGTCTCAAAAATTGATTAAAACTAGAAGCAGCTACCTGCTATGCAGTCTATTATTTTCCAGGTTTAAAAATTGTATATCCTAAAACCACCAGAATTATCTATTTTCAGAAATAAACTAATAACTTTCATCGAAATAATAATAACTTTGCCGTAAAAGTAAAAAAAATCTGAAAATTTACACAGAGTTTAACTTTCACCTCGAATAACTTTTTAACGAGTGATTTAATCGAAAAATTATAAGATACCTTTTTTGTAGAGCGTTCAATTTAGTATAAGAATATATATGCCTCATTGCTGTAAGTCATTTTGCCTGGGAAAAAAATTAATTGGAAAAAGGGTCAATATCCCATGTAATTTGAATGGGAAATGTATCGTCTTTAGGGCAAGGTTTATTATGAATACTAAGAGTTCATTTTGGTCTGAAATTTTTTTTTAGACGATAGACTAAAAATTTATGGGGCGTCACAAGAAAAAAAATCAACTTGGTAAATAACGGACACCCTACTATGCACATACACGAAGCTTACGTAATTAACTTTGCAGATGATACCAGCATCTTTTCCAAAAGTCTTGATCAAACAACAAGTCAAATAAAGAGAGTTTCTCAAGAGCTATCCACTTGGTGCATCAAAAACAAACTTATTTTAAACCAATCCAAAACAATATACCTATCAAAAAATACAAAATTCCTGGGTTTGAATATTGATCAAACTAAATTGGGAGTGTCACATTGACTTTGTAGGCTCAAAACTTAGCAGCGCATTTTATGCCATCTTAAAAATGAAATTAAATAGTTCTACGGAGGTTCTTTTGCAAATGTTTTATGCACTCGTTTATCCACATTTGTCTTACAACATAATTTTGTGGGGAAATGCAATAACAATAAAACGTGTTTTTGTGATGCAAAAAAGAATAATTAGACTTATATTCAATTTAAAAACTCGTAAAACTTTTAAAAATGTTTTTAAATCTAAAAATATTTTTACGTTTTTTTCTATTTTAATCTACACAAGTTCCATGTATTTTTTTTAACAATGAGAATATTTTTACAAAAAACAATTTCAATAATAAATACCTTAAAACGAGAAATGGCGAGGGCTATAAAATTCCTTCTCATTCACTAACGCTTTTTGAAAAATCACCCAAATATTTGTGCATTAAACTACCGTTGGTATTAAAAACCTGTGATAATTTTAAAATGTTTGAGCTTAAATTTAAAAACAAAACATTTTACACCATGTCAAATATTTTTCTTTTGTAAGTAATTTTAACTTAATGTTGTTTCTTGTATACATTTATTATTCTGTACTATATTTATTTAAATTTTACTTTTTGTCACTGCTTTTATAATTTTTTACAACAGCCTTTTTATATATTACATACATTCAAACCAGTTTTATTATTTGTAGAAACTTTTATATTTGTATTTTGACGAGTTTTATATCAATTTTGTATTGATCCTTAAACAATACACTATGATAGTTTTACAAAGTTTTTTTCCTAACATTAAGTACTCCAGCTTAGTTTAAATAATTTTAGGCCGCTAATTTCAAAAATGTCATTAGTTTTTCTCTAGGAAGTTTTTTGTTGGTATTTTAATTATTTATTAAATTATTTTGGCTTAAATTTATCTTGAATGTACTAAAGTAATTGGTATACGGCAAATAGATGATATTTATCTTAACAATATGACATTTTAAATACTAAAACTAAAATTTTAATGTATTTTATGTAAAAAAACAACCATTATTTGACATTTTTTGTCGTTTATTTTAATTATTAAATTGAAAGGGCAACAAAGTAAACAAGTTTCAGTATTTTTTATCCAAAGTAAGCCCTCGAAATTTAATGCATTGCTAAATTTTGCTTTTTTCTACCTTAAATTTATTAAATCGTATCAAATATCGTATAGTAGTATAGTATTATTGTGCTTAATCCTCATCATCGTGGTACATCACGGTGTCCCTGAATAACTTTTAATTGAAAGGTTCAGACGTATCCGATTTTTTTTCATATTATGAGAAAAAATCACTTACAAGACAATTTTTTTTCAGGATAAATTGAACTCGCTTCTCACTTTTTTAGATAAATCAATTTTTATAAAAACATTAATGATTTTTAATCAATTTTTTGAGAATTTTATTTAGTGAACTCCAAATAATGACTAACAGCTTTTAATGTATTTGTTACATAAAATGTGCAATTCATTAGACTAGTGAACTATTGACATATGTCACTTGTCACATGTCACATGTCGAAATCGTGTTTGAAAATACCTTTGCGTTATTTTACCGTTTTTTTTCAATTTGTCGCAGATTTATTTATAAATTAGATATAAATAATTATTTTTGCATTGATTATAGTATATAGTGCAATGAAGCTAATAAAAAACCATGCATGGACTCACTTGGATAATCGCAAAAGAATTTGTTTGTTTTGTCTTAAAAAAAAAAAAAAACAAAAAATGTCTAAAATATGTGGAAAGATTCTGGAAAAAGTTCCGCTATACCCATAGATATCTACCAATGCTCTAGATTTGCAGTTACTTCTTGAAATCGTTCTTCATGTTCATCAGTTCGGCAAATTTATCAGGATGAAAAAAAAAGAAAATGACATATTAACGCTAATTCTTTGCAAAACGGAAAGCATTTTTTCAATGAATTGGCGCCAATTTTAGACCCGATATGAACCAACATTTTCAATGACAGCTTTAACACTACCATATGCGACAAGCTCGTCAACTTTGAGAGCATTTTTGAATGTTTGATCTTTCATTAAACATGGTATATCAGGTACATTTAATATTCCTGCAAAATTAAAGTAGTAGGTATATCTCATAAAATTTTGTATTGAAACATTGCGTTGGTTTTTCTTGGTCGTAAAGGTACCGCAACAAAAACAAAACAAATTTACAACGACGACATAAATGTTGGTATCATTTATCTTTCTCTGTCACTTCCATTTCCTGCTCTTTTTTCATTTTTGGTTCTTAAAATCACTTTCAAGTAAAAATACAATTTTAAATATCAATAATTAATAGGTGCACTTTAGTGTGCTTGAATAATGATAAGACTAAATAAATAAGAATAAAGTCTTGAAAACTGATAGGATAAGGAATGTCTATCTTATTAGTAAACTATGCTGTTACTAATTTAAATAGTACAATTTTGACTATTTAATTTTTAGAAGCGCCTTCTTTGCCTGTTAGATAATGTACTATTGATTTGTGAAATTATAAAAATGGAAACATAATTTACTTAATTCGTATTGAGTGCTTTCAGTGTTATCAAACAGATTAATAAGGATTTATATATGGCAACTTTGTAGGCAACTGTTATTCTTATAAAAAAAATATCCTCAAAATCCCTAAATCCTGCTGTTTATTTATTTTGCATTAAATGGATATTTTGCGGGCTATTCAATAAAAAGAAACTCCCAAAACAATTAATATAACGTGTTTCAATAATTTACCTTATATCTCCCAAGATTACTGACTGTGCAGGATAAAATCGCCTCTCGTCCCACGGGAATTGTCAAGTTGTGAATTGGTGTAAGAAATTCGGGCTCCTCCACTATCCGTGCCGTCGACCAATCCTCTGAAAGAAAAAATAAATGGATTTGTTTAATCAGGAAAACATAAATTTAAATTTAATTCACTTAATAACTTACGATGGGTCAGACACTTTTAAAGGCGAACCTTTTTTTTGTCTATTGAGCTTTAAATATTATAATTAAATTTGTATCTAATATAAAATTGTTTGTTTGAAGGTTCCAAATAATAACATTAAATTTTGTTGAATGAAATAAAGGACTTTTATTGGCTTTTTCAGTAGTCTTCAGGTGAATACTGAATAAGTTCAGTAGCTACAATACCATTTGAGCTTGGGTTTTATTACATAACAAGTTATTTAAAAAGACAATTTTTGTTATGTAATTAACTAATAGTGGAATATTACTTCTTCACAAAACACGTTTTTTAATTTTGGGTTAGAATTGATTTCAAACCTGACATGTTGGAACCATTATGAGGTAGGATTCGACACATCAAATACCTTCGAAAAGATTTATTTTAATTTTAATAATAGGATGTTGGTTAAAATTTATAGACCTGTCGTACATACTCATATTTTGTAGAAGTAGAAGTACGTTGTGATTTAGCGTACTATTTTGTAGCTGATTGCACATTTTTTACAAACAAGTCTAAGGAATGTTAAAATATGAAAGTAATTATGTTTTTTTTGGTTACCATGGCAACCTCAAAACTAAAATTTGTATTCTTCCTATTTAAAATAGTGAATATTTTAGGTTAAAACACTTCATAACAAAATTTTTTTTAAATTTTATTATAATTTATTAAAATAAAGTTGTGCCCACTGTGAATATAAAATCTCAAATTAAGTTTTCTTTTTTAATATATGGATTAAATTTGTGAGAGGATGTCTAAAAAATACAGGAAAAACCTTTAAAATGTAGATACTCGCATTATTCTTTTCGCGTTTTCCGCATTGTAGGGTAACAGAAAATACGAATATCAAGCCATAAATAACTTATAAGTACATATTATATTTTAGGTTTAAAGTGGAATGTATACCTTCTTTGTTTGTTCTACTGTAACTATCTCATATATGAAATAATGTTTATTATTTAAAGAGAACAATGTTTAGTTGTGTAATATACAAGTTTCAAACGACATAAATACAACTGTATGAAGATTGTAAAAGCAAAAATATAAATGATAAAATATCACTTTATATTAGGGGGAGTAAAAATACCGTTTTTTCTATTAAAATTGTCGGAAACATTTTTTTGGGTAAGAAATTGATGGCCTGATGCAAAAAGAATAAATTTATCATTATTAAAAAAAATTTCAGGTGGTAATAAACTGAAAACTGAAAATGTATGTTTTTAAAAGTAAAATATCGCAGTTTTCTTATATTTTCTCTTTTACTAGAAAAAACCGATAGTTAAAACTTATGATCGAAACGATTAATAACATCTTTACCCAAACCAATCTTATTAATTTAAACTTATATATACTTAATTTATGAAACAAAAAAAGGATATTGAATAAAATCAAAAAGGATTTTGAAGGGGATCGTGTTACGAGAAAAATATCTTGTAATGTGTCCCCGGATAGGTGAAACGTTTCTTGTAAAATCCATATAAAAAATCAATTTTCATTTTCGGGGGTTCCGCCCTGCTTGTTAAAGATTCATTTTCAACATATCTAATTTCAATTTTTAAAAATCAAGAATGCCTTGGAAATATTAAAAAAAAAACTATTTTTTGTGTAAGTAAAGTGCCTTTCATATGGGACAAAATATTATGAAGAGTCAGGCTGAAGGACCCTGGTCGATGGCCTTTTGTATATTTTGTATCTTATTTTCTGTATTGTACTCAATATACAGTGTGTTATGTAATTAATGTTATATATTAAAATACTGAATACCTTTTGACATAAGGAATAAAGGAAAAATATTTAAAAAAACATTTTTCCAAAGATAAAGAAAAAATATGCATTAGAAGTTTTTTATATTTTTTGTGATACGCCACTGGTTATACACTTGGTTTATCTCTGCACACTTGTATTTTGTGAGTACATAGATACCAACCAACAAAGTAGCTATAGCTATATAGCACATATGCGTTGCCAGATGTAAAAAATTGTTACTAAAAATTTTTCTTGCAAAAAATAAATAAAAACTCAATAAATACAAAAGTTTTATGCCCTTAAAGCTCTAATACCCTTCTGTATTTATTTACTGATCCAGCTATTAGCTTAAGCAATGATTAGAAAATTTAGTGCCTTTGAAATTTGAAATCCATAACCACAAAATTAATTTTTTCATCAGTTTTTTTCTCTGTTTACTCAGATGAAATTGGGACCAGTTCACAGGTTAAACTTTAAACATTTAATTTGTGTATACACAAATTAAATGTTATAAATAAATCCAAAAGCACTTCCCTTAGTTAGATATTTACAAATTGAAAACATAACCTAAAATTTAAAAGAAATGCACTATATTCTGTCATAAAAGTTGGCAGATTTTGTTTGAATTTACCTTCAGTACAAAAATGACATAACCAACAATTAATAAAAACGCCAAATTGACAATTTGCATTGTTAATTTTGTCATTTTTGTAATTAAGCTAAATTTAAACAATGTTTGTCAACTTTTTTGAGAGATTTTGGAAACACTGTTGTTACCAACCATAACATAATAAATCCACCAGATTAACCTAAAGTTCCTAGTCGATCAGTGGCCTACTTTTTGGTAGGATAAAGGTTATTATAAATTATTTTTAGACTTTGGAATTTAGAAAAAAAAAGTTTCAGGGGCTTCTTTATGGACCCTAATGAACAACCCATTTTAATATATAACATTAATTACATAACACCCTGTATATATGCTGTACTTGGTTTTCGGGAATTTTTCCGCGTTAGCACTTGTTGATTCTGTAAACCCATTTTAATATATAACATTAATTACATAACACCTTGTATATATGCTGTACTTGGTTTTCGGGAATTTTTCCGCGTTAGCACTTGTTGATTCTGTAAAGGACCGATGTAGTTATTTTGACGACGTTTCGGCAAAATCTCATTTGCCATTTTCAAGTCTTGGATAACTTTTTGCTTGCACTTCTAGTTATTTGAATCCTTAAATTTTTCAATTTCACTACAAACTATAAAACATTAAATAATGTATTTTTCATATTTTATCATAGATTTGAATAATAGCAATTTTTAAAAAATTGATAATCTTTGTACTCACTTTTACCCGACATTTCTGTGTCCAATGTTAAAATTTAAAATTCCTGTGAAATATTAAAGTTTATACGTCAAGTCCTCGATTTAACTCAAGTGTTGGTAAAAAATTACCTACAGAGCCCGCCCTTTGCACGACAGTCATCTTGAAAACAATGCAAGCGGCGAAGTTGTGGTGAATGCACGTATAGTTCCAGTCAAAATTTCAGTACTGTGGTGAGTAGTTATTTTCTTACTTATATATATTTCATTGTAATGTATATAATTTGTTGATAAGTAGCATCCACTAATAAAAAATATCAGTATAATACTTAATTCCGAATTATAATCTCAAATTTGTATCCCATTCATCAGTACCGTGTCGTCAGTCCATGTTCGATTTATCGATCGGTTATCTTTTTTTCGCAAACTTCAATTAATTGTTTCTTAAATGTCATTATAAAGTCATATAAATTTGGTGTGGGTCCCATATCTAATATTTGAGATATCGGTATACCCAAAATCCACCAGCCGCCACTGATGTGTGGTATTATTTGATTTTAAGATATTTAATGTATAATATGCTCAAAGTTGCAATAAATCTTATATTTTCCAATAAATTATGTATTTAATTAGTTCCCTGCAAGGTATTCGTCACTTCCCTTGCATTCAAATTTAGAAAACACAGATATTTCAGAAACTGTTTGAAAAAGTGACTGGCCCGGTCTGGAACAGTATATTTATTATATTATCTATGTTCTCATAACAAAATACTGTTTAATTTTTTCCAAAAACTGGATGGAGGCCGTTTTAAAGATCAATTAAATCATCATTAAACATGCTATATTTTTTATGGAAAAATATTTCATTATGGGTAAAATCATCATTTTGGTTAACAAAAACTATTTGTTAATATGTTTTGAAGAAATTTGTTTATAGTTTGTTTAAACCTTTTACTTTGGCATTTTAAAAACATAGGAGGAAAACTGCAACAACAGCAAAAAAACTCGACAATTTGTAAATTGTGTGTCACTTCTAGTTCAGTGTCGCGATACGTTTGACAATCAATCCCTCATTGTATCGGGACCTTTCATTAAACTGGACGTTTCGTTTGATATCTAGAATTACTGGACCCGAATGTGAAAACAACAAAACCATCTGCTACTGCTTTATTACCCGGCCGTCCTGCTGGAGCAGCTATACCAATGCAGCAGACTAATAAAAGAGAATTGAACACTTTTAATCAGGTGGACCTTTTAGATAGGCGATTTGCCTAATTAATTGCATTTTTGTTGCACCTTTTATTGACTTAGTTGACTCCCACTTTATTAAATATAATTTATTTATTTATTTATTTATTTATTACAAAATGGGGCAAAACAGGACGAACCCAACAAAGTGCCCACCAATAAATTTACAATGAATGATCCTATAATAATAAATATAAACAAACTATAAAAACATTATAAAATTTAGTAAACAAAGCTTAATAATAAAATGGCATTTTATAAGATTTTTAAGTTTTGTAACACTATCCGAAAATAAATCCAAATCTATATCGCTTACCAAATCATTACAATTTCTTATACCTAATATCTTTAAATAGTAATTAGTATTACATTGTTCATATGAAAATAGATGTCTAGATCTAGTATTATATTGGGGAACAGTAAATTTAATGTTACTAACAATTTCATTTCAGTCTATTAAACCATTAACAATTTTGTACAAAAACACTACCTCTCTCAAACGTCTAAAGTTAACCAGCGATAGAATATTAAGTTTTTTTCGTACTGCTGATCGTTCAAACATTTCTGGGTAATATTTAATATTTATGTAATTTAAAAA